AAAATTCAAAGCCGTTTTCTCAGCTAACGTAGGCTTAAAGACAATAAGGGGTGTGTATAAAATTGTAAAGGGCGAGGAAAACGCCCTTGGGCTCCACTTGTATCAACTTACATCGAGCGCTCATTTAGTGCATTCAAGGCTTTTCTTCGCGAAAATCGAATGAAAATGCTGCCAGAAAACTTCAAAATGCATCTTATGGTTCAATGTTATTACAACTATACAGATTAAAGTTTTATGAGTTAGAAACTCGAAAGAATAAAATAGTCAAAGAGTCAAAGTACAAATTTTTCATATAATGAAACTGGTTCATAGCTTTTCTCTTTTTACTTGTAATATAAAAATTTCTAAAATAAATATATTTTTTGATTGTTCTTCGTATTTTCTGTTTTTTTAGTGCCTTATTTTGCTTTTTTGGCAATACTTTTTTTTTTTAAATGATTATTGAATCATATTATTAGGGCAACCAAAAAAATTAATTTTTGGCGGATTTCTCTTACAACATAATAAATTGGCACTATATTTTTTAACTTTAAAAATTTTTTGTTTTATTTTATTTCAGTTTACATTCTTACAACATAACAAATAAAAAAAGATAATGAATAACGAAAGGTACATAAATTCTTTAGTATAAGTTTCAAAACAGAAGAATAATTCAATTATTCAGTAAAAAATTTACTTCATATTGTTGTTGCAGTATACAACAAACATTTAAGCTATTTTTTCGAACAGAAATCCGTGTCTATTGTCACGGTAAATACTTTTGTACATCGAAAATGTTCTTTCGACGTCCACGGACGTTACAGGCGCATATTTGAAGGCCAACACTTCAGAAATTGCGTATGTGGAATTGTGACATGATGTAGGTTTTCCTGCAATTTGGTCAGCATTGCTTTTTATCTCAATGTAGCCTTTGTTTTTCATTAACAACGAGCTGAGATTTTCTTCTACTTCCATACATCCAGCTCGGTCAATTGTTTTTTGACATCGGCAACCACCTGCAATTGCGCTGTGAGCGGAAGACCGACATTCTCCAGCTTTTTTATGGAATCCACCAGAAAACCGAAATTAGCATCTATAAAAATTATTCCTTGTCGAACATCAGTATCTACCAATAATGTTTTCGCATTTTTAATAAATTGAGAATCGTTTGAATCTAATAATTTGAAAATTGTTCGAATCTTTTCAAAATATTTAGCATAATAGCTAACTGCTTCCAACCATGTTCCCCACCGTGTTATTATGGGTGCAGGAGGGAATGGTATATCTGGCTCGCAATCCCTAAAAATTGGAGTCCGCGATACAGCCTTAAGGAAAACTTTTTTTATGGTAGCAATTAAACGATCAACTTTAGGATTAGATTTGCTATGACTATGAAGAGCATTTGCAAGGCATGTCACGTGAATTAATTTGGGATAAAAGACTTTTATGGCTCTTGCACCTTTCACCATGTAAGGTGCAGCATCTGTTAGAAACAACAACAGACCATCCCTGTTAAAATTTGGACCCAAAAGTTTTATCGAGTCGTCAAAAAGCCGTGCAATATTCGAATGGTCTTCTTTCTCCAATAAAGCAGTATTTAACAAAAAACGTTGCTTAGAAATAGTCTCATCAGTACTTGGTATGCCCAAAACGTATCGCCCAGAGGAATCGGTGGTTTCATCCGTTGATAACCACAGGTTTTGATTTTGTATACAATTTCTTATATTCTCAATTGTTGCGTTGTAGATTGTATTAACTGCACTGCGCATGGTGGTTTCAGATGGTACCTGGTGCTCCATATATTTATCCAAAAAATGCTTAAAATGTTTGTTCCTTATTTTGAATAGCGGTATGTCAGAAGCGACAAGCGCTTTGCACAAATCCATGGTGAATTTAGCATTTTTACAGGTAGAATTTTCCGCCAAAAATTGCTGCGTGATAAAGAATTAATTTCTCACGTTCAATGTGAGTGGCGCTGGCTATATGCGATTTAAGACTGTATATGTATTTTATCTGACGATACAACTTTGTTACAAAGTTTGCAAATTAGTACCTCGGAATCAGTTTCTGCTGTGCTTACGTCTTCTAATTATTTGTATCTTATATAGTGTTATATCGTTGTTAAAATTTAAAAGATTTGTGATTTGTTGGTCCACAAGTAACCAGGTTATTCCTCAATTTTAATAATTATAAATTATGTATCAAACTGTATTAAATTTGTTTGTGTTTAAATGGCAGGGAACTAAGTGCTCGTATCGCCAGGTTATTCTTCCAAATTAATAATTTTTTAATTATTCGTCAGATTATAATTTTTAAAGAGTAATTATATAAATTTTAGATAAAATTTATTTCTTTAATATATCTCATCATTTCATTTCTATGAACAGTTATGCTAAAGAAGTTTTCATTTCACAGTTCATTTGTTCATATGCAATTAACATTTTATTAAGTTGCAATCATTTTATTATTTTTATCAACGTAATACGAGGGTAATTTTATTCTAGTTATATTTAGTTTATTCAAAACTAAAATGTTGATTTAATGAAACGACTACATTTTTTATAATTATTTCAGTCTGAGTTTTGTGTTAAATCCCAAACGATATTATTTTCTTATGCGAATTGCGATTGCTCTAGCCTCATGGCCGAGGAGCCATTTTGCGACTGATGTAGGATTTTAAAGATTTATTAATGAATATCTTAATTGCTTGAATTCCGAAGCAACCTCAATTATTTAAAACCAAAGAAAACTTTTTGACATAGTTCTAGAGTTGCCATGAGTGCGAGCGCAGGTATATAAGGCCGCCGCCACAGCGAAGTGGGTTAGACAAAGAGCATAGTGACGCGACAAAGAGAGCGACAAGACATTTTCGGATAATAGCGACAAAAACAAACCTTTATTTTTCAATGTAGCAGCACATAGTGAAGCTAAAAGCGAAGAAAGCGACAAAGAGCATAGCGACGAAAACAAAAAAATGTGTTTTCGTTGCTTTCTGAGCTGACTGTTGCTTCACTATGTTTTTACGTTTCTTGTCTCTTTCTTCGCTATTATCCGAAAATGTTTTGTCTCTCTCTTTGTCGCGTCACTATATTCTTCGCCTTAGTTGCATGTTAGCAAGCTATAAGTTCAGTTGTGTTAGCAGGTTTTGTTAAGTGTTGCAATTGCCTTAATTATAAAAATTCAGAATACCAAAACCAAAGTCTCAAATTTATTATTTAGGACTTTTTGCATTGATCGCGCCGACAAAATTTTAAAGACAATTTATATAGTCGACCATGCGGTTTTTATTTAGGAATTAGGAATATTTAGTTCAAGTGTCAACTTTTGTTTAGCACAACCAGATTCTTCCATTAAAAACCAAGAACTTTTAATACATGTTTTATTTATTTCTTCTTTTAGTGTCACCGTACCTGGTTATCAAGGAAATCTACAAGCTGCAATATCTCACAGCGCTTCATTGGCTGCCTGGGAAAGATTTGGTATGGAATTTAGCTTGACTTTTGTCGTTGTACTCACTTATTTTGTTTCAACCGACCCCATGAAACGCTTCATTGGCAATTCGGCCATCTCAGTGGGATCTGCGTATAGTGCATGCAGTTTTGTTTCTGTAAGTAACTTAAAAAAAAACGTATGCATGTAGACATGAGTAGATTTCCTTATTATTATTTAAAACTTCACATTGAGAAAAAAAAATCTACCAAAAATTGGTTAATATTACCAAACTCAAACTTGAAAAGGAATCAACATGATTTTTGGTGATATTGTCACTACCTTGGTTGATATTTTCGACAATGATAAGGGATGGCAAAAAAATAAAATAATCGATTAATTAATCTTATGATTAATCACAAGCCAAAAGAAAATTAATTGCAATTATTGATAAATAATTGGACAAAAATAATCGATTTATTGAATCAAATGATTAATCGCTGCCATCCCTAACAATGATTTGGTAATATCAACCACATTTTTGTTTACATTAAATCAATTTTCTTCTTTATTAGTTTTAGTTCTGCACTTCAGATATGCTTTTTCGTAATTAAGAGAAACCAAAAACAGAAAAAAATAAAAATTACGTGTTTCTGCAGAAGGCATTCGAACTCGAACCTGCTTGAAGCGAACAAATAAGAGCAAGCACTTCTGCAGGTTCAGCTACAGTTAGACATACGAATTTGTTTTCAAATATTCAACTTGAATCACATGTCTTACAATCGGTGTTTTAACCATAAAAAGCCAAACAATAACTTGGTTGAAAAATACATTGCACTTTTGGCTCAGTGCAGTTATGGGAAATTCTAAAGAACAGCTTTGAAAACTACTTACTTTCTACACGGAGCGCAGGTAGAAATCCAATTCGCAATGATAAAAAGTAATGTAAAAAAAATATTTTTTTAAAAATAACCTTTTATTTAACATGTTTAATCAAAGGAATAAAAGAAAGTAGTGAAACAAAAGATTTTTTAGCAAGAAAATTTTGTCAAAACTGCACTAAAATGAATAAAATAAAATAAGTTAAGGTCTCGTTAAAGTTACTAAAAGCCATTTAGTGAAAGGAGTTATTCAAACTCTAATGAAAATTACTAACAATTTGTACTAATTTACTTCGTTTTTAAAAAAGCTTGTCG